AAAATCGGGCCCTTTTGCCATTTTTGGGTTGCCAACCACAACTCTTGGGTCCCCAGGGGGGTTATATTGGTTTTTAGTTTGGGGTTTTAGGAGGGGGGGGGGGGGGTTGTTTTGGGGGGCAAACGATGTTTTTCAATTAACAAAAATTTAACGGCTGGATTGGGGGTGGCAACGGAGAAAATTTGGGAAAATATTTACGGGGCAAATATTCTGGCCGGTTTGGGCACCCCTTGGTGGGGGTGAGCTATGTGTGAAAAGGGAAATTTTGGGACTTTCCCTCTAGGAGCGAGGGGAAACAGTGCGGAGCTCCCAAATAGAGGTTCGGTCTGGGGGAGAAATTGCCTTGCGAGGAAATTAATGGGGGGTCTTTTTCCCGATGCTCACCAACTCAAGAGAACGGCCAAAGGGTTTGTAAAAGAAAACTTTTTCTAGTGCCGGGGGGTATTAGAACGGTTAAATTTTCTGCTGAAGATGGAAAGGAGCGTTTATGGGATTGTCCCGAGCGCTGTGATGTCGATTCTATTCAAAATATCACCATTCACCACATTTTATTTGGTCTTTTTCCTCGCCGTGATCAGCATCACACCTGCTACCTTTACTTCCCTGAATACTATCTGCTCCCTTTAAGCCTGAATCGGTAGATAAAAATAAAAAATAAAAAGAAATTCGATACAAATTTATTAGTCTTGGGACAGGCAGGCTGGCGTTTGTCACTTCCCTAGTGGGACAATGTGAGGGTAGCGGCAACATTTGCTTTGTGGGCACAAAGTTCATGAGTTCGAATCCACGTCGAGCCTGATGATGGTTCAGAAATAAACCTCGGCTGGCTTCTAGGTGGACCCGGGTGACAATGCGGAGCCATGGGAAGTCAAGGCGGCCCGGCCCATAAGTGGTCATCGCAATGCAGCCAGCGAGATACCATGTGGTCTAGACAATCAGGGATTATAGCAGCACATGTTTCTTCACAACAAACCCAACCTACACCATACTATAGGTGCATTTCATGGAAAAGGTAAAGCCGCCGGTGTGTGTTCGAAAAAGGGAGCCGACATTACCTCATTATGTTGCCGGATTGGTCAATATAGTAATAGGTTCAGCCTGATATGCCCAAGGCAATTGCATGAAGGACCTGTAAAAGAGTCTTCAGTGTTACAGGTTTTACGTTTTTTTTTTTGGCCCTTACAATCATTAGGTTTGTGCTTTGCTGGAGAAAAATTTATACGTCACGTTCAAGCAGCATCTCCGAAAGAGAAACTTTAAGGTTATAATTGTGACTAGGTTACGTGCGCTATATAAAACGGCTAAGCATTGCACGCCACCAAGGGCTCTCTCTTGCAGTGTTGATGTGATCACAGGAGACAAACTCAAATACTGTCACGACTAGGTTTGGCAGAATGTTTATCTTCAAAGTTTTTTTTTTCTTTCGACAGCGCTTTGCTAAAGTGGTTTTCATATACGGACAGTAGTCTATGGTTTCGCTGCCTGAGCTACTGAATTCAAATATGACTTTGGCTCCTGTTCGACTCAGTCTTGAGTGGGTTCTAAGTATAATCCTGGGAAATAAAAGCCGGTCTGATATTGACCACATCACCCTCCGAGTGCTGATTGGTCTATAGAAACAAATCTAGCCCAACGTGATGGGAATCTACAGCTCACAGTGTCCTCCTACGCACCCTGCTCAGCAGTAGGACGGGCGACCAAACGATATCTTTTCATTCTACACGTGAAGGAAATTTACTGCTAACTGTTGTCAGAAACAAAACCTTACCACGACAAAAACAGTTAAGCCAACCTATCAACAATATTGACTGGAAGTGGAAAGATAGAACACTAGCTACTAGTGGGAACATCGTAAGACATGAAACGGCACAACTGCCTACAAACGTCATTTTAGCATCTGTTTTTGAAAACAACAAATTCACGAATATTTGCGGAATTATCGAAAGATTGTCCAGATATTATGTGTTTCTAATGGGCAGAAAATAATTTTTGGGAAGTAAAAGCTTTCACGCGCTAGGAGAAGTTTTTTTTTGGAGGGCGTGTTATTGATTCAGACTTTCTCTGGCTCTGTCTCTGTCTGTCTGTCTGTCTGTCTGTCTGTCTGTCTGTCTGTCTGTCATGTCATGTCTGTTCTGTCATCTGTATGTACTGTATGTCTGTCTGCCTGTGCTGTCTCTTCTCTCTCTCTCTCTCGATATCACATGTAACACGCCCGCACGCGCGTTTTGCCCACGTGCACACAACCAACTGACACACACAAACACATACTCTATAATCCAGAGCGAAATACTAATGTACTACATAGAGATGTTTATATTCCCCACCCCCCCCCAACTGACCCACTATACTCTCCAGAATCTCAGACCGACTTACTGATCATATCACAAAGACCCTCAAGTTTGCCTCTAAGCCAATTTTCTCCCTCAGTGGCATCATTCTCACACTTCCCTGGACAACGTCGAGATGCCTCCCCTGGGGGCGGACTCCAGTGCCTGTGTTTAAGCCGTCACACTTATGATACTTTGCAAACTGTGATTTCGGGTCTCTCATGGGGGAAACGTTCTAGTCGATCCTCTACTGTCCCCATGTTAACCTATGACACTGTTGTGGAATGATCGTGTACTTTGCTGAAATACCTCATCAAGCTAGTTTCCATCGAAGACTTCTTCAAGTCATGAGTGAAGAACATCCGTTGATCCGTCTCTCCACATAATGGGACAAGAACCACCGAACTGCACATCTCTCTGTCTGTCCATATCTCTCTGTCGAGTCTAACCTAATCTAATCCTGTCTAATTATATCTAATCCTGTCTAATCGTATCTGTCTGTCAGTCCGTCTGTTCGTCTGTCCACCGCTCGTCTGTCTGTCTGCGTCTGTCTGTCTCTGTCTATCTGTCTGTCTATCTGTCTGTCTGCCTGTCTGTTTGTGCCTATCAGTCTGTATGCAGGTTGGTCGGTCGGTCTCTCTGTTCGTCTGTCAGCCTGCCTGTCTGTCTGTCGGTTAGTTGCAAAGGTCTAACGTTCACATTCCCACCACCACATCTGCTTTTGGAACACACAGCCATTGGCCGCGCTAGGAGTAGTTTGGGCCACTGTAGCTAGACGCGCGCTTACCGTACCGAACATTCTGGGTCTGATTCTGCATCGGCAATTATAGCCGCCTATGACGTCATCGTAGTGATAGTTAAGGTGTCAACTTCACGGTACTCGGCTTTCCACATACTTGCCAGGTTCATGTGCCAGTGAAAATCAAATGAAATGCTTCGCATTTGAAAAACTGGTGAACAAACATTTAGTCCCGGGACAATGCATAAGTCTGCGTTGCAGTAAATGCATATGGCAGTTGCTGGAGCCATTTTGACCGGAAGTCAAATATATTGTTGCACATACAACAATCTTAGCGACGCAAGTAGCGCAAAAAAACCAGACCCCAAATATAACCGGAGACTGATGACAACATGCTGCCAAGAGCAGGTTGAAAATGGTAGAGTTTTTGTTTTTTGTTCTAGACTGGAACTAGAACTGGAACAATCACAACCATTCGATGCACCGTTAGTAATTTAGAGCACTCGCATCTTAACTACATCTTGAAAGAAGTGGAGATGCCCCTCCCCCCCCCCCTTCCCCGCCCACCCTACCCATGATTGGCTTATCACAGTCGTCTCTTCTTCCTTCCAAAAGTCCGTTTATAAAAACAAACAATCCACATCTCTATTTAGCCTAATTGCTCCTCTTCAGCTAATCTGCTAGTATTTACATTGTATATTCCTTTCCATTTTGATCAAGCGTAAATCTACATGGCTTTTTCTATGCCCGGCTATCCATTTCTAACTTCTTAACTCAAACGTGCCTGCGATAGCTACCGTAACGTATCAAAGCACAAGAATTCGTCTATGGTTGGCATTGTTCCTAGCCGGCCACCCTTCGACTAGCACTTGCACAAAGAGAACTAGTTAGATATAACGTCTTGAGTAACTGAATGACGGATACTTATTCAAGTGTGCACGGCGCGACCCTATTCGGATGTTCTCTAGAGACGAGAATTAAGTGTAGACTCACGCAATTCAATCAGTGGGGTCCAGCAGTGCTAGAACTGCTACCTGCAACGATTCGCTAGTGATTCTCCATCTTCATCGATTTTTGTAGTTTTTGAGGATGTGGATATAATCTATGAAATATCGACCAGTGTTGAAATTTACGTGTTAGGTAACTGAAATAGAAATGTATTCGGGTAATAATCCTTGATGTTGTTCTTGTTATTGATGTTGCTATTGTCGTTGTTGTTGTTGTTCTTCTCCTCATTCTTCTCTTCTCCTGCTTCTTCTTCATCTTCTAGTGCTTCTGCTTCTTCTGTATGTTGTGAGCTTATTATTATTAGTATTATTATTACTATGGTTATTATTACTATTATCATTATTATTATTACTATGCCCCTGATTCTCCTCATTATCCCTATCTCCTCCCTTGCCTCTTCCCTCCTTCTTTTTCTGCTCTGTCTTTTTCTTCTGGAGAGGGAGAAGAAAAAGAAGAAGAAGAAGAAAAAGAAGAAGAAGACGAAGAAGAAGAAGAAGAAGAAGAAGAAGAAGAAGAAGAAGAAGAAGAAGAAGAAGAAGAAGAAGAAGAAGAAGAAGAAGAAGAAGAAGGAAAAGAAGGAAAGAAGAAGAAGAAGAAAAAGAAGGAAAAGAAGAAGAAGAAGTAGCAGCAGCAGCAGCAGTACCAGCAGCAGCAGCAGCAGCAGCTGTATGATGTAGCAAAAGTTCAGAATGTTGAAATCAAACAGCAGTTTGGGATATAACTGAAAATCACATTCAGTATTTTCCAAGACGACGCGGAAATGGTAACTGGCAAATTTCATAAAGCAATTAGAATATCAGGGGAGGAAATATGATTTGGGTGATTTAAACACACATAGACACACCATCGCACACACAAACACAAACACATACATCACACCACACATGCACACGCACACATGAACTCGCACACACGCTCTCTTTCTCACACACAGACACATACACACACACAAATCGGTGGTTTCGCAAACAAAGAAGGAGAAAACCGAACAATAACAAGACAAATATTAAATACAAAGTATTCATACTGAAAGAATTACTGTCTACAGAACATACACACAAGAATAGACACGTTACTTAACAAGTATATCATGTCTTTAAATCCGCGACCCCACCCCCTTACCCCCCCCCCCTCTCGCCCCCCCCCCCCCCCCCCCCCCCCCATTATATACTTAGTCTTTCCTCTTAGAGCGGCGAATAGGGCAGAGGTCCTAGTTCTCCATGTCTGGCGGTTCACTGCAATCGTTGTGTAATACACACAACAAAACAATCGTTCATATATCTCATCATTACCATTCTATCATGTGTTTAAATAGTCGCCGCTCCCATTACATGCTACAATGCTACAGTGAACCGTACTTGCCGCTTTGCACCACGCCACGCTACTAAGACAGATCGATGTCCTCTAAGGAAGCTCAGATTTCTGGATGGGGCTTCATTTTCTCTTGAATACAACCCTGGCCAGACTTGACAACTCTCTAGAGAGGATTTCCTCAGAGCCTGGCCAACAATTACGCGCTGATAGAGCAAAGGGTCCCTGCTCTCTTTGTAGGGTGGGGGGTCGAGGGTTATTAGTTATTGTCATCTGTTTTACGGAGTGGTCTTAGCTGTTATTCTCCTCTACCAACATCTGTTTTGTGGGTTCTTGATAAGGCCCATTATTGATTGTCTTAACATATCCTTAGTTACATAGGTCCTCAACGTTGTACGGACTAGTTTTGAGGGATAATGTTGAATCTATGACGCTAACACGACTGCTTTACCGAGGCTCGGTGAAGCACGTCTACGCTGTCTTCGAGGTAAAGACAGGAGATACTATAACCAACTCCTCATGGGAACAATCAGTAGAGGTACCCTGGGAGTAGCTGCTGTACGGAGGATTACATTCTACATGGGGATGTCCAATGTTTAAAGATGTCAGTTGTGATAACATACCAAATCCTTAGTTGGTAGCAATTTCACAACTTACCGGCACTGGTCAGAAAAATTACGTCAATGTTATAAATTGATGTAGCCATTCAGTGCCCACAACTGTTTAACACGGTTCCCGTGTTGGCTCATCATGGATTGACATCCGAAATGTGACTCTGTGAGTTATATGGTGAGAATACTTCATGTAACAGTTTAAGTTTCAGGTTTGAACAACGGATCAACATCATGGCACAAGGGTATTAACGCCAACTGATCTATAAAAAAATAGGTCTAACCCTATATGCCAATACGCTCGAAGACGTGGAAGAAGGTCCTTTACTTACTCCCCTCATAATCGTCTTGGCTCCCAGGTTGACTAAGCCTTACATAAGTACCAAGTAAGGTCCTGGCAAATAAATGACCTCATCATCCACCGATCGCAGATTGGTCTATAAAAAGAAATGCGGCGTCCGTGGCTTAGGCGTTGCTAGTCCGACTCGTAATTCCCACGTACCGCGATCGAAACGCACTGCTGGCTGCGTTGGATTTTTATCATGGTTTAGGAGTCGCAGGTCGACCCAGCCTAACATGGGTACCAGGATGGCTGTCCTGGGGAAGTAAAGACGGCCGGCGTTATGCTGACCAAATAACCCAACTAATGCCGATTGGTCTGTACAAATATGGGGTGCTCTTCCCAAATGCCCGATGCGCCAAAGGCGTGAAAAGGGACATTTACTATACTTTTACTTAAAAAATGAAATAAAAATAGATTTATTGTTAAATGCCCAATGGGCCCAATGGTGTGGAATAGGGTCCTTGACCATTTATCTACTTAACTCCACTCATACGCTTGCTAGCTTGTAACACCATTCTGGACCGTCAGTCAATCAGATACCGTCTTGACAATAAAGGTGGGCCATAATGGATCTTCAGCATGCTACCTTTTGCCTGAGATCTGCACTCTGTCAGACAGCTGTTCGTTCATCTCTTGTTGTTATTCACCCCCTCCCCACCCGCACAATAGCGGCCCCCCTTCTCTGCTTCGGCTGATTCCAACTTGTCTTTCCAGTGGCGATGTTAGAATAGTGTCATGTCTTCTGGCCAAAATAGTTTGCTTTTCCTTTATTGTTTTTGCTCTTATTCCCAGTCTTTGGAAACCCCTGTATTTGACTGATTTTTGATGTTTCCAAGAAATGCGAGCTATTTCCTGTATTTACACATTTCCAGTGACTGAGTATATATATATATATATATATATATATATATATATATATATATATATATATATATATATATATATATATATATATTTAATAAAGAGAGCCAAACACAGAGAAACAATAAATAAAGAAAACATCCACTGCGAGACTTTAGATTTCACAACGCACACATCGTATACACATCAAACTGTGCTCAACAGTTTGGTCACCTTTCATGTAAACTTCGTGGACTCGTTTTCAGTTCAAATTTGTG